GGCCAATCTGCAATAATAGTTGAAACTCTAGGATAAAACCAGGTATTTTCATTATTTATAAAAAGGTCTATACCATCTTTTAATAAAATAATTGGTTCTAGTAAATGACGTAAAGATTTATGAAAGGTATCACGAACCAGATCTTTATTTGCAGTTTCTAAAATTGGTAAATATCCCAAAAGTTGCTTTGCATCCTGTTTATTACGACGCCATATTGGGATATTGCCTAATGAAATATATATCAATCACTGCGCATGTAATAAAATTAGGGGGCAAATTTTTTTTATTATGATAGTCATATTAAAAATTATAGTGCGACATAGTCATTAAATATATAGTATATGTATGTAGATCAAAATCGGCTAAAATTATTCTAATTGGTTAAATTGATGATCTTCGAATTCTTAATTCTGGCCAAAATCTTCTTAATTCTGACCAATTTTATAATGCCAGCCTAAATTTGGTTAAAATCGAAAAAATACAGGTCAAATGTAACACAACATTTAAATAATATAACCCCTTAAACTAAATATATAAAATAATACTTATTAACGGCTTTTAAGAGTATATCGAAAAAATTTTTCAAATAACTTTTGTTTTTTGAGGTGGATCTCAACTTGAAGTTGGTGTATTTTTTTGTAAAAAATAAAGAAAAGTGAGAGATATTTTGCATGTTAAATACAGTAAGTAATTTAAAACTTCAAATTATAACTAAATAAAGTATTTTAAAATTTTTTGTAGTAAAATAACTCATTTTTTTTTAATTTTATTAACTGTTAGAAATTTATTTAACTTAAAAAAAGTTTTTTAAAATTTTTTATATACGATAAATAGAGCAAGTTAAAAGGTAATTGTGTATTTTATTTTGAAATTTTTTATACTTTAATTACTAATTACAAATTTTTTTTTTTTAAAAGAACGTACAAGTATAAAGAAGTGAAAAAAAAAGCAAAAGAGTATAAAAAAGTGTAAAGAAACATAAAAGAAGTGCAAAAGATTGTAAAGAAGTGTAAAGGGACATAAAAGAAGTACAAAGAAACGTAAAAGAAGTGCAAAGAAACGTAAAAGAAGTGCAAAAGAACGTAAAAGAAGTACAAAGGAACGTAAAAGAAGTGCAAAGGGACGTAAAAGAAGTGCAAAGGGACGTAAAAGAAGTGTAAAGGGACGTAAAAGAAGTGTAAAGGGACGTAAAAGAAGGCAAAAGGACGTAAAAAAAGTGCAAAAAGAGTAAAAGAAGTGTAAAGGGACGTAAAAAGAAGGCAAAGGGACGTAGAAAGAAGGCAAAGGGACGTAAAAAGAAGGCAAAGGGACGTAAAAGAAGGCAAAGGGACGTAAAAAGAAGGCAAAAGGACGTAAAAAGAAGGCAAAGGGACGTAGAAAGAAGGCAAAGGAACGTAAAAGAAGTGTAAAAGGATGCAAAAGAAGTGCAAAGAAGTGTAGAGGTGCATAAAGAAGTGCAGAGAAGCGTAAAAAAGTGCAAAGAAGTGCAGGAGGAGCGTAAAAGAAGTATAAAAAGGTATAAAAAATTAAAAAAACTAATTTTTTTATTTATTTTATTTATAAAGTAAGTATTGCATATAATTTTTTAGTTACATTTACCAATATGACAATTTTTTTTTGTTTATTAATATAAAAAATTATATTTGATTTTTTTTTATTAATTATTACAGTTAAATTTATTTTAATGTTTTCAACCAATACTTTTAGCTTTAAAGACAGGTATGATAATGATGACTTAAATATAAATCCAGAAAATTCAGTTGATGACTTTTTTGATAATATTGCTGATTATGAGGAAGATTTTAATTTTATACAAAACAATGAAAATGCTTTTCATTTAGCAATGAAAAGAGCATTAGATAATAATAGTGATAGTTCAGTAAATAATGATTTTGAAGATGAAGCAAATGATTATGATACTAATAAATCAGAAACTACAGCTAATACTAGTATTAATGTTGAGCTGAATATTGAACAAATCAATCATAAAGACTTATTAAATTGTGCAATTGTGGATGTAATTGATGGAAAATTACAAAAATGTAATTCAAATATTAAATTACGAGGATTGTGGCAGTTAATAGGTACTTGGCAATTGGATAATGATGCAGTTCTTCAAGCTGGAAAAAATTTGGATAAACTTGGTGTTTGTTATACACATTTTTTATTTGATCAAAATAAACTTCATAAAGAAGGTGCAAAAGAAGATAAAGACGTAAATCAAAGTTTAATTCATTTTCGTAAATGTAGATTTTGTGAAAAAAATTATTATTTTTTTAGTCGTGGAAAGTTTTGCAAAGAACATTCATGGAAAGTATTAGGCAATGAAATTAGATTAGCTTGCATTTGTCAAAAAGGATGCAATGTATTAAAAAAACTTGAACCAATAATAATGCCAACTAATTCTGATGATAATAAATATGATAAAACACGATATATATGTTGTAAATGTTATGAAGAGTATGGTGGTCATATACACTGGTAAAAAAATGATTCATCCTACACATATCTTACACATATTGGGTACTTAAAATGTAGAAAATCATACACAAATAATACACATATCATATACATATCGGGTACTAATATATATATCATACATATATCAGGTACCTGATAGGTATACTATATATATAAGTACCCGATATGTGTATGATATGTGTATTATTTGTGTATGATTTTCTACATTTTGAGTACCCGATATATGTAAGATATGTGTAGGATATGTGTAGGATAGACCATTTTTTTACCAGTGATATATATTAAACCAGGAAGAGGTTATAAATCTTTACATTGTGATGAAACAAAAATTCATTTGGGTGAAATAACTACATCATTAGAATTAATGGCTAACTGGATTTTACAAATAGCTCATGAAAGGGATTTAGAATTTCAAGAAAAAGTTTTAGCCACAATTACACCTGCTCTTCAACAATTAGATTCAAATTTAATTTTACAAAAATCATCTAATAATAATACAGATAATTCATCACAAGAAAAAAATATATCATCACCTACTCCTAAGATTTCAAAAATTCCTAGTCTTTTTGCAATTAAATTAATTTTTAAATTATATAATATTAAATTAAACAAAGATTTTATCCAATTAAATTCTAAAAATTGTTATTTATTTGGAAACAATTTGGCTGAATTTCTTTTAAAAAATCGTCAGCTTTTACATAATAATAAAATGCTTTTAGAAAATCCACAATCATTAAATGAATACCAAAATGCAATTCCTATTGAATTATACAATCTTTTTAGTGAAATAGTTGAAAAATTACTATTTAATCGATGCCAAATGGCAAATGTAGTTGCTAAATCAAGAAAAAAAGAATATATACCTAAAGAAGTAAATCAAAAAAAAGTTCAAAAAATAAGTACTATGCTTAGTTCAATAATATTAACGATGGGATTTACTAATACATCTTTTTGGCTTACACGATCATTAGCAAGTTTATGTCGAAAACCACGACTTCTTTCATCTTTACATCAAGTACTTGAATCTGTAAGCGTTATATCACATTCTATTTCTCATGAAAGAAAATTAGAAAATATTCGAATGTTAACATCAAATCCTCAATCTCGAATAATTACTGGATCAAAAATTTGGAATATATGTGTAATTGATAATATTGATTTTAAGCAAAATTCTTTTGCATGGGGTAATATTTATGATGTCACACGATTATCTACACATGCAACATTACGCCTTCTTTTTCAATTTGTTCTTCCTATTGAATTATCATCAATTTCTAATAATTTAGTTGAATTATCAGAAAATACTTTTATTTTTGGACAGAATCAAGATGCAAGTGAAATAATACAAAATTTTGGAAAAATTATTGAAAATTTTTTTTTATGGGAATTAAATAATGAAAATATATTAAGTTGGAATCAAAATTTTGATATAGAAATTATTAACAAAAAAATTATAGAAATATATAATACTGGAAATTCATTACCACCTGCAAATGTAGTTATTTTGGAAGCAGGTGGAAATCCAAATAATGATAATGATATTGCAAAAGCATGTGATCAATATTTTGTTGATTTAAATATTAATAATGATGAAAGTATTAATGTATGTTGTGATGAAGCAATTTTTCGACGAGTAATGCGATATCATTTAAGTAATCCAAAAATTTGCCCCTTATTAGGCCAGTGGCATACTAGTAAAGACATGTGTAGTGTATTATTAGTTATTTTTTCAAGTTATGGAATTTATAATTTTGCTGCTTTTCTTGGAGTCAAATTTTTAGATAAGTTAGAACAAGTTGTAGATTATAGATCAACTTGTCGTGTTCTTGATTTACTATGGGGGGCAGTTGGTTGTACATTAAACATTTATGCAAAGAAAAATAATCTTTCCTTTAAAAATATATTAAATAATAATAATAATCTATTAAAAGTTTGGTATTATTTTTTTGAATGGGGAAGTTATTGGAAGGGACATAGAGTAGGAATTCGTACTGGAAATTCTTTACTTCAAATTCAATGTCTTGCTGCTTTTGCTCCTTTATTTCCTTCAGCTGGAAAAATGAATTATATGAAATCAACAGTAAATTATCTTGCAATATTAGCCAAATATCCTAAACTTCGTACACTTTTAGAATTTGCTCCTTCAGTTAATATTAATCGTGAAGGGCATTTTTATGCATTTGATGAGGCACTTGAAACTTTTGGCGTTAAATTTATAAAAGAAAATATTACAGGAAATGTTTATAATGATGAGAATCTTAAAAGACAGATAAAAGCCATTCAAGCAGAACGAGAAAGAATGGATTTACTTTTCAATGAATTTATAGGTGATATAGCAGTATCTAAAAAAGATCGAGCAGTTAATGGAAGACGTGAATTATTTTGGGCTCTTGTTAATTCTTTATTAGTTGCATTTGAATCATCAAATCCAACAAATCATCCTTTATTTCAAAATTGCATAGAATTAACTGATAGTGGTTATACCAAACTCTTTTCATGTTATGATAAAGGAAAAGAAAGACTTAAGCAAATTTACAGGCAAGAGGTATTGAGAATTGATCCCATTAATACAAAAGGAAGAAGAGCCAAAGAAGTAGTTATAACTAAAACAAAAGATATAAAAAATGCTGAGCGTACATCTAAAAAATGTCCACCTCAGTCTGAAGCAGGATCATCCACTGCCATTACCACCACAACCACAACCACAACCACAACCACAACCACCACTACTGCAAAACCCAAAAAACCACGGCATGTAACAACAGAAGAAGAAAAGTCTATTTTGAAGCCTTATTTTAAAAGTCCAAAGCCTAGCAATGAAGAAATTGAAAAGGTGTTAGATTCACTTTTAGAATTATCACCAAATTATTGGACAAAGAAGAAAGTTAAGGCTGCATGGGGATATGCACAAAAAAAAAAATAGTTAATTGAGTTTTTTTTAGTAAAATAATTAAATAAATACTTTATTTATATCAATTAAATTTTTTATAAAATAACAGGTAATTAAATAAATTAAATAAAATAACGTCACTTTTCATCTTTCACTACCATAAAGAATCACATAAATCTATTATTACTAGTTGCTAGTAAGATTTCAAGTTGAGCACTATGATAAATAGTCAACAGTCAAAATATTTCACATTACAGCTTAGTCCTGATCCATCAATTTTCGCATTCTGAAAGTAAGGACGAAAAAACAAAACGAAAGTAAGTAAAAGAAATAAAAAGGAAAAAGATGTAAAAAGTTTAAATAAGATTTACATTTTAGTTGTAATTCCCACGGAATTTCTGATTTTAACGAAAACGGATGAAGATTCGACATAAAATAACCAGGGTATATTACTTCCGGTGCATGAACTGCCATTTCCATCATAACTATTACCTAAAATAAAGAGAAAGAACGAAAGTGAGAAAGTAGACAAAAAATTAAAATAAATGAATAAATAAAAAACGAAAAACAAAAGAGAAAAAAAGAATCAAGAAAAGTATGTTTTAAACTCACCTTGACCATAACCGCCACTTCAATTAGGACCGCCTAAAATATGCCGTTCGTCTCGTTAGCTCAAGAAATTTCTATTCGTTTTCCTTCTTCACCCAATCAATTTTTTTTAATATTCTTTTTGATTCATTAGTTCGCAGAAAGTGAATATGTCTTAAACTCAGAACCACCATTAATCATAGCCTAAAATAAAAAAAAACAAAATAAGAAAGAGGAAGATGAAAAGAAAAATGAAAAGTAAGTAAATTAAATGAAAAAAATTCAAGATAAAAGGTATTGAGCTCACCCGATCATGAACCACCATTTCCATCATAACTATAACCTAAAATAAAGAGAAAGAACGAAAGTGAGAAAGTAGACAAAAAATTAAAATAAATGAATAAATATAATGAACTCACCTTGATCGTAACCGCCATTTCAATCAGGACCGACCCAAAATATGCTGTCCGTCTCGTTAGTTCAAGAATTTTTATCCGTTTTTCCTTCTTCACTCAATCAATTTTTTTTTATATTCTTTTTGATTCATTAATTCCCAGAAAGTGAATATGTCTTAAATTAACTTTGATTGTGAACCACCATTCCGAACTAAATTGTAGCCTAAAATAAAAAAAAAATCCAAAAGTAAGTAGACGAATTAAAAATTAAAGAAAAAAAAATAAAAAATAAAAGGTATTGAACTCACCCGATCATGAACCACTGTCTCGACCCAGATTGTAGCCTAAAAAATAAAAAATAAGAACGAAAAATAAAAGGATATTTTTTCTTTTATTTCGTTTATTTAATTTTTTTTATTTATCCTTTGTCTTATTATAGATCACTCCGATCCATGAACTCCCATTTCGAACTGATACAGTAGCCTAATGAGAAAGAAGACGAAAAATTAATATAAAAAAAGCAAAAAGGTTTAACTCAACTAATGGAATGAATAAGAAAAAAAAAAATAAAATACGAATGAAACGAATTAGGAGACGAAATGAAAGAAAATACAAGAACTTACTTTTACTATCACTAGACTCTTCAAAACGAACCGTAGACTACAAAATTAATACAATTTAACTATTGTTAACCTATAAGTAAAAAAAGATAAATCGGTAGTTTAAATAAAATGCTTACTGTTATTCCTTTTCCTTAACAGAAAAACCAAACTGAGTATAATGACTAAAAAAATAAGAAAAGAAAATTAGTAATAAATATAGACCGAAAGTACTATTAAATTTAACAATTATATATTAAAAAGAGTTGTATATACAAGAATATAGTGATAATTAATAAAGATAAATGTATACACTCTTTTTGAAAAAGCTTCTTTTTATAGTGAAAATTCGATTTTTTGCATTTTACGCAAAAACTGTCCGAGCAACCAATATTACAAGCTTAGAAAATCTTTTTTTTTCTCGTAAAATTACATATATTTCAGTTGCTAAAACCGTATTTTCTTTCTTATTTTTAAAAGGATCTCAAAAAAACGCGTTTTTTTAAGACGAATTTCTTGTAAATGCAAAAAAAAAAAAAATTGCGAAAAAAGGAAATTTATTTTGTAAAATTAGTAGATCACATGATGATCTACCAAATTACTTAATCAGTATGGGCGTAGTATATTAAAATTGACGTTAAATCATAAAATGAAGTAACTCAATTACGGTTACACAAATTTTCGTTAATATAGAAATGATTTACATATTACATGCGCAGCGATTGATATTGGATGCAATTGACTTTTTCCTAATGTATCTGTAGTTGTTGCATCAGAATATAAAATAATTGATAATAATTTGGAACCAGTAGGTAAGGATTCTTGCGTAGTTTTCCACCATTTTCCAGTGTTTTGTTCACT